GACCAGTCACAACTCATTGTGCAGGGATATTGATCAAAGAAGAAAGGATAGTAATGAACATTTTATACGACCAGTCACAACTCATTGTGCAGGGATATTGATCAAAGAAGAAAGGATAGTAATGAACATTTTATACGACCAGTCACAACTCATTGTGCAGGGATATTGATCAAAGAAGAAAGGATAGTAATGAACATTTTATACGACTAGTCACAACTCATTGTGCAAGGATATCGATCAAAGAAGAAAGGATAGTAATGAACATTTTATACGACTAGTCACAGCTCATTGTGCAGGGATATCGATCAAAGAAGAAAGGATAGTAATGAACATTTTATACGACTAGTCACAGCTCATTGTGCAGGGATATTGATCAATATTAACTTTATCTAAAAAAAATTGATCAAATTATAAACAAGAAATATATTTGTTTGAGAACAAAGCCACATTTGGCTATCTACTGTGTCTACCACGGGGAATCTGACCCCAGATTTTAGCAGTGTAAGTCCGTAAACTTACCTTTGTCTCACTTTGGGGGGCAGATAAAAAATTAAAAAATGTTTTACAAAATTGTAAAATAACTTGGACTAAACGGAAATCTCCAAATTTATACAGATTGTAAATTTTTAAAGTTTCTACTGTAAAGAATGAAAGAAGTATTGCATCATGTATTATTTAACGTTTACAATAAGATATCTTGAACTACGACATTTAATTGTTGCTCCATTAGGGCAGGAATTATTTCAGGCGAAAAGGTCTTTTGATTTTTATGCTAAAAATGTAACTTAGTTTAATAGCACCAACAGGTACTGACTTTAATATCCCGCAAAATTTGATTTCTATGTGACTTGCAGACAGACTTTAGACTTGCCATTATATATATTAAAGAAAACCCATTGCTGATACTGCTTGATTTATTTTTACAGAATACTCAATTTCGAAAATAGTATAAACCGATCACCCCTCAGCTACCAGAGCAGTACTACCATTTACGAGGCATTATCTCCAAGATATTTCCTTATGACCAACACATTTCCTGTGGGGGACTTTTATCGTCCTATTCTTATATCATTAGAGCTATGATGTCTGGAAAATTATCGTTTTCTCATGAGACTTGTAAGTTGGAGTAATTTGTTGATCGTCCTTTAAGTACTAAATAGAAATTCAAACAGGCGTCACAAAGAAAAAAAAATATATATATACCAAAAATAAAACATCGAAACTATAACTTAGAGCTTTATATTGTAATTTATTGATTCATTCAGTTAACATCTTTAAAGTAATATACATTAAGAAAAATTAGACTTTTAGAGTTTATACGATACTGAAAACACACCAACCAAAAAAAAAACAGTGTCTTTACTAGATGTCTGTCTTACCTTGAGAAGTTGCTTAAAGAAGTTTGGAATCTGAGGAAGAAATTTATGAAATTAAAGTTTAACTTGATTTGGTTCATCTTGCTCTAAATGGTGTTATATTTTATGTTTACAGATATATCTTTTATCGACAAATATTGCTTTCAGACTTCGTTTAATTTTAGATAGTTCCAAACAACAGTCAGTTTCATAATACAAACATGCTCAAATTCAAAGTGCTCTAGCGAGAAGATGAGTTAGGGTTTCGATATAACTAAAAATTCATAGTTCAACTACAAATAGAAGGAACAATAAATGAACGGTAAACAAAATAAAAATAGAATTTGCGCTTTCTCATAAAAGCAAGTAATAAAAAACTACTTATCTTTTTACTAGACGGTTCTAATTTACGTATGAAGATCAGATGCATGATCGGCATTATAAGTGGCGCAAAGAAAGCAAATGCCTGGAGCTCCATGATTTTAAAGATCCTCTGTTTGTTTGTTTGTTTTTTAAATAGAAATTCGGAAGGTTAAATAAAGAAAGTAGATATCTACAAAAAACCTTAAAAGAACCGTTTTCTGTGGGAAATATGTAGAGTGTAATCTTACACTTATCTCAATTGTTTGTGCACAAAAAAAGCCTTAGATTTAAGGTTGGCATCAGCTAAGATCTCAATTAATTGTGACATTTCTAAAACTCTAAATTTGGTGAAGCACATCTAGAAAAGTCAAAATTTAATTATTACATACATAAAGTGATATTTATATATCTATGATCCTTTAATCATTATCATTATTATATGTGAACCTTAATTAATGACATATCATTTACTGAACGGTTTTTTAGCCAAGTTTACAACTAACAGTAATGACGTAATTTAAATGTGATAATTTTCTTTCTATATATAAGTATATAGATGAAACAATATCTACTCCATGGTTTAATTTAATTGACTTCAATATGACCGTCATATGGTCCACTAATTAGTCAGCTCTGAATGAAATTATGAGAATAGGCATAAGAGGGAAGGAGTGGAAGCGAATTGAGGCCCTCTATTGTGCCCCAAATTGATTAGCGTCTGCAATACACAAATATAAAGCATATTTAATTGCAATATCTCATTTTTATGTGCGACGATTAAAGTCTCCATAGGCCAGGCATGGCCAGGTGGTTAGGGCGCTCGACTCGTAATCTGAGGGTCGCGAGTTCGAATCCTCGTCACACTGAACATGCTCGCCCTTTCAGCCGTGGGGGGTCGTTATAATGTGACAGTCAATCCCACTATTCGTTGGTAAAAGAGTAGCCCAAGAGTTGGCGGTAGGTGGTGATGATAAGCTGTCTTCTCTCTAGTCTTTCACTGCTAAATTAGGGACGGCTAGCGCAGATAGCCCTCGAAATTCAAACAAACGAACAATGAAGTCTCCATTTTAAGCAAAATTATTTAGTTTTGTATTAGTCACTAACTTGTGAATTGTTTTAAAACAAGTTCAAATATAGATGTCGCTTATCAAAAGAGTGTAATAGAAAGATTGCCTACTTAATTTTGGAATTCACGAAATAGCAGATTTCTACTTAAGATTCTCAATAATCAGAATTATTACAGAGGTCAATTTTTTTATGCTAAAAGAGGTTAGTTTGTGAAAACTAACGATCATAGTTTCAGATTGAGGCTGTAAGTGTACTCAATTTATCCATGAAATCTCAATAAACATTTCTTGGCCTGAGCTTTGATCCTTGTATTATATTCAAATCCTAAAACATAAGATAATTAATTATTATAACATATGTCACGTTCAATTTACGACGCACTTTAAATATACAACGATGTATGTAAATCAATGTATGCAATTAATTATTATGACATATGTCACGTTCAATTTACGACGCACTTTAAATATACAACGATGTATGTAAATCAATGTATGCAATTAATTATTATAACATATGTCACGTTCAATTTACGACGCACTTTAAACATACAACGATATATGTAAACCAATGTATTCACTGCGATAAATATCCATGTATAAGACGCTAAACTGAAAAAACTATATATATACTTACTTTGAAACCATTGGTATTATGTGTCGAATGAAAAATTAATTCAGAAATAAACCTTAAAAGTATATATTTGACAGAACCAGTAGTGATTAGCCTTATAACTGATGGTCTGATGGTTAGGGCGCTCGACTGCGGGTTGTGCGTTCGAATCCCTTTCACCGAACATGCTCACCCTTTCAGCCGTGGAGAAGTTATAATGTGACGGTCAATTCCACTGTGTGTAGATACCCCTCGAGTAGCTTTGTGCGTAATTCGAAACAAACAATTCTAATTGATATTACATAGTCTAATTAGCCATAATAACCGTCTTTATTACCAAATATCTTACTAACTATATAACGATTCTCGAGACAACTTATACACTACTTGGCGAAACCTGTTTCATGGGTTTGGATGGTAAATACGCATGAATTAATATAATTCGTACGACGTATTCTTACAACAACAAAATACGGCATGTTCAGTTCAAAGGTTAAGTTAAGCTTCATAACGTTTAAAACTTGTACATAACAGATACTTGTTTGTTTGTTTTGAATTTCACGCAAAGCTACACGAGGGCTATCTGCGCTAGCCGTCCCTAATTTAGCAGTGTAAGACTAGAGGGAAGGCAGCTAGTCATCACCACCCACCGCCAACTCTTGGCCTACTCTTTTACCAACGAATAGTGGTATTGACCGTTACATTATAACGCCCTCACGGCTGAAAGGGCAAGCATGTTTGGTGTGAGGGGGATTCGAACCTACAACTCGCAGTTTGCGAGTCGATCACCATAACCACCTGGCCATGCCAGGCCCCAGTTACTTGTAGTATTGTACACATTACTCAGTTATCTTTTTTTTTGACACACTCTACCATTAAAAAAAAAGAAAGAAAAACTTTAAATCTTTACACGGTGTATAAATGTGTGTTGTTGTTTTTTCATATATTTGCTAAAAGTAAAAAAAAATAAATTCAAAAACACAACAAAATTAATATAATCTGTAGAATGGGACTTCTCTATAATGAACGAATAGCTCACTCGATTCAAAGTGAGTTAATGCCGGTTGGAGTTCTTGTCATATCATAAAAATTTCAAAGCGTGAAGTGTTTATTTTTTCTTCTTGTGATGAAAATATTTTCTTTTTTGAACAGCGTCACCTTGTTGAAGCGCGTTTTGATATCTAATCTACATACCAAGTTTTAATTTTGGTGGAGCTGTAGTATAAGAAGCAACGATAATACTCCAAAGATGCGTAACTATTTTCAGGAAGTAAGAATGTAAAACTAAAAATTTTACAGAAAAATAATGTCTCGAACACCTCGAATGGAATTTAAACGATTTCCTTAACGTTTCTGTTTCTACTAAAAATGGGCTTCAAAATAAACAGTAAAGATATAAAAACTAAACATTTCTGTTTAAAGGATGGAAAATTTTTCAGAGCTAAATTATTTATTATTATGTCTTAAATGTTATTGAATCTACTGAAATTGTACTGTAGTAGTGTAAGTTGTTAAAAAGTGCTTTACTAGCAAATTCTACGATATAGTCTTTTAGCTCAGTTGGTTTTTTTTGTTTTGAATTTCGCGCAAAAGTTCCACGAGGGCTATCTGCGC